CAGCAATGTCGCTACTCTGGGTCAGACTCTGAGCAGCTCGGGCTGAGCTCCAAGGACGTTCCGTGTGCGCACTCTTTGTAAGCAAATATTGGGAACGCTTTGTCAAGAATACGCGCTTCCGGCAGCCCAATAGGTGACCTTTTCTTTGTGATTGAGACTAGGATGCTTGAATAATGAGCCTCTAGGCTCGAGAGGTATATTGGCTTGCAAATACCCGAGAGTCTCGGGTACACGAAAAGAAAGATCTTGAAAATTTCATCCCGTTCCGACATTTGCCATGAGGTTATATTTTTCAAAACTTCGATGATGTTCGATTCCACGCCCCATAAAATGTTTAGGGTCGGATGTCGTCATCTCAGAGAGTCGCTCAGTGGAAAACGTTGTCACATTTTGTTACAGTTGTCAAATCAAAATTCGAAAGTCATTCAATGGTGTTTGAGCGGAATGTTTCAGAGACGTTCCCGGAGCCCTTGCATGCTAGTAGCATGATGCTACCGGGAATATTCCGGAGCTCGTTCGTAGGAGCCATCTTCTCAACACATGTGGATGTCGATGTGGTTCCTGGGATCCGCAGTGGTTCCAATTTCCGTTCTCAGGCGACGGATCCTTTATCTACTTCTCGCGCTACGATATGACCTAACAACCCAACACAGCATTGCGGGTTGAACTAGTGTTGGGTAACCCGCCGGGTTACAATTTGCAGCCGATAGGTTGTTATCCACTTATTTATTTCACTTTTGTCACGCGCTTATCAGCTGATGCCTCCTATCTCATCAAGAAGGCTATGCTCTCCTAGATTGGATCCCCTCTCTCATATCGTCACAAAGGGTTCATTTCACTATTGTCACGCGCTTATCAGCTGATGCCTCCTATCTCATCAAGAAGGCTATGCTCTCCTAGATTGGATCCCCTCTCTCATATCGTCACAAAGGGTTCTGCTCTTGGTTATGTTGAGTTGCATTTGTCATCAAGTGTCTTGAGTCACCAATCTTCGCGTGGCACGCGGGTCAAGTGATCAACGGAGCGCACTGTCGGAATTAACGTTCCTCGTGATCCAATACAGAATGACAAGGAGGGGAGTTCCCACCATGGGAATGAGAAATTCATAATATAAGTGTTGAGGGTCGGTACGCCTTCCTTATCTCCCATTGAGGGAACGTCACAACTAGAGGACTTGTAGGAAGAACTTATCTATCAATATAATCAATAGTAGGCTCACTTGACGCTAGGCTAAGATATGCACTGCGACACGGAGCAATAGCCAAGGAGACAACTGGCACAGAAACAAACACAATATTTCGTTTTAGGATACAATCATCCCTGTACATGCCTTGCTTGGCTTGGTAACGCCAGGTCGGGATCAGCGCTCTAGGAATAAGGTAGACCATCGTGGAGGTGGTCGTGGCACCAGGAGCGGCAAGAAATATGTAGAAGAGGACGACTTTGATGCTATTGCTCGAAGGAACCGGGATGTAGAGCAGGTAAGCAACGACTTGCATTCAGAGAGGGACTTAATATCATATGAATCACATGTTTAGATCAAACGTCGTCAAGAGCAGCAGCTAGTTGAGGAGGGGTCGTCGTCCGATGACGATGAGCCTACTACCGCTCCCGTAGCAGCTCACTCGAAGAGGGCACCGGAGGTGAAGACCATGGCTAAGGAAAGGTGGGCATAACTCTTGTTAATACTGGCCTACACTGGGGGCACTAGGATCGACTCTGATGACGATATTGCACCTATTGGAGCGGATCAGAAGCATCAGCCAACTCGACGTGAGCGAGAGGCAGCTGCTAAGGAGGCGGTGGGAGGCAGAGCTGGGCACCATGTCGAGTGGTGGTGCTATCTCAGGCTCATAAGGCCTATCTTGAGAAGCAGGCTAAGGGTGAGACCTCAGAATTCAAAGCTCAAGCTCGACGTCTGGCCGAGGTAGGGTTATGAACGCTCACTGTGGAGAGAAGTATGTATTAGTCATCACCTAGGTGAGGGCTCGTCGTGAGGCTGCTGCCAATAAGCGTGAAGCAGAGGAGGCTGCTGGTATCACTGGTAGCGTGGACGGCGGTTCTACTCTGGGTGTACAAGCTGGCAGAGAACCACCGAACAGGTGAACCTCTGGTGGACTCAATAGTGGAGAGATTTATTTCCGCTGGTTGCGCACCATAGGAGGCTAAGGAAGCGATCGAAGCCCCGATGTGAGTGGGATTGATTGTGTTGGCACTCCAGCATTCTCATTCAATCGAATATATTATATTCGATATTCAATATAGGGACGCTCCCAGTGCGCTGCAATTTTCGAATGTGTATTAAAAGCACTCAAACGAGCACCTAGAGCCGCGCATGTGACAGATAGAGGTTTTTATAGGTTTAGAACTGCTATTTTCTCTAACATCTGACATGATATCCAAGTTCACACCAGGAGTTAAATTCTGGGCACGATTCACCACCATCTTATCTTCGTCCAGCTTATAGCCACCGCTGGCTCATTTCTGGTCGCAAAAAGTCCGGACGCCCTCTTCAACCTATTTTGGATGAGTACGCTACACTTTCTCAGCGGGGATGCTTTCGATATTACGGGATGCTTATATCGAGAGCTTCACCAGGCTCGAATCCGGCGACGACCTCGCCGATTAGGGTATCGTTATCCGGCTTCTCCAAGTTCTCGAAATCGATGTTGACCAAGACGTTCGCATCGGCTGGGCTCTCGGTGTAGTTGTCGGTCAGCTCTCAGACCCCTGTCATCCCTGACTGTAAGGCTCACAGTGTGAGCTCAAGGCTTGATCCTCAAGCCTGGGTTTACTTCCAACGTGTGATGATAGAGGGTGGTTCAAAGAAAGAGCCCATACCCTGCAGTCTCACGGCGCGTGAGAGTCACCTGTGCCCCTCGGTGCCTTCCCCACACCAGTACTTCTAGGGTCGGCTAGCGCCGAACCACCCTACCACATCCACGCGACCAGTAGCAGGATATTTAAATCCTGGGCAGTGGTAAGCAAGAGGCGATCTCAGCCCGTAGCTGGTGTGAACAGAAGTCACCACCGTGATACACGTAAATACGCGAATACCTACTGTCGCGGTATCAGTTGATGAAGTCTGAGAACAACACAACACGGAACTCGAGCTAGAGCAACCAATACTATGACCACAGGACAACAACACTAAGCGCACTACCTTGACTTGGGTTCTGTACGAATACACAACCAGCACAACACAGTAATCGATATAGGCCCTATATTATAGGGGTCATACGCTATGGGAGGATGGCGGAGGTGTGGTAAGATAGTGTTGTAGTTCCACTTGAACTCATCTTCAACACCGCTGTGGGATAAGTAGATTATTGCTGTCGAATACAAATAGAAAAAACGGATGAGTGGCTCAAACCCCTCGCGTCAGGTCACCCATGGGGTCACATCTCGTGTGACATAGCTCGAAGTTCGAGCTATGTATTCGTGAAAGCAGTCTAAGCTCGAAGTTCGAGCTATGTATTCGTGAGAGCAGTCTAAGCTCGAAGTTCGAGCTATGTATTCGTGAGAGCAGTCTAAGCTCGAAGTTCGAGCTATGTATTCGTGAGAGCAGTCTAAGCTCAGAGATCTGTTAAAATGTTAGATACGAGACGCTGTCTGATATATAGAAAGATGCTCGCTTATTCATTATTTGGCCTGATCCTCTTTGCAGCGGCGAGAGCTCATCCGCAGCAAGTCGTGCCTCACTCGCTGCTGGAGCAACCTGCGCCGCGCTCGCTCAATGACGTGGACTATCGCGCTTACCAACGTGGTGATGACCTGAAACTTGTGAAGAACGTGATGCCCATTACCTGTAATTGGAGCTCATGCTGGGTCGCCGTTGCAAGTGGAACTCGGGTAGGGCTGGTCTCAAATTGAGCATCTCAATCGCCTTGGTTGGTGAGAAAAATAAATGTGAATTCAACTGCCAAGTTCGATAGGTCTATCCATCCTTCGAGCCGTATTCATTTGTCTTTGAAGATATCTTCTATCCTGAGCATTTAGGACTGTGGACTAGGCTCCATGAATCTTGATCCAGGATTCTGGACCAGGGAATTACTCGAGACTGTCAAGTCTAGAACGTCAGTTATGTAAGTATAATCTTTGTTTCAGACTGTCGTCGGCGTAATTGAGATGACTATCCCCGCTTTTTATATACCAGGAAGGGTTGAGGAAGCTATCGAAGCCGCGATGTGGGTGGAATTCGTCGTGTTAGCACTCCAACATTACCCAAATGGAGTATAAACTCTCCAAAATGAGGTTCTCTGTTATCCTTGCGACATTTCTTTTCTACAGGCCGGAACCGAGCAAGAAGAAACCCAATGGAATCATCGGCTATATAGATCACGTAAGCCCTACCTGGTAGGGTCAACCTGCCAAATTCGCTCGGCAGCGGCGAAGAGTTGACGTCAAGATCTTCAGGTTGCAGTAGCCTTGAGTTGGCGTAGGAAAGGAATTGCGAGAAAGCTTTTATCGACGGCTTTCCCAGAGGTAAGTCATCCATAATATTATTCATCAACTTGAGGAGATCATATCATAGTAATCCTTCACTCACTCGGGTTGACTATTCTGAATGTCACTGGAGCACCATGGGAATTCTGGTCTCGCTTGTTCTGAGCCCATTGGATTCCCATGTCCAGGAACTTACTCCATATCAATTCAGTTTGATCTATTCGTATCCCTCAGATCGGTAGAACTGAGCCGAATGTGGTCGCTATGTATCTGGTAGTACAAAATGACAATGTGGAGGCGATTGGGCTCTATAGGAGCTCAGGATTCGTTGAGATATTAAGTAAGCTTATTTAGCACTCGTATAGGATGTTGAAGCAACATATGAACAACTGTTGAATAGACCCGGCTGAATGCGCCCTTAAGAGCGTTCCTCACGAAATTTCTTTCAATCAACAAGCTCCAGAAAGATTTTACTAAAATCATTCTAGGGACGTTGCTGGGTCTGAGCAGCTCGGGCTGAGCTCCAAGGACGTTCCGTGTGCGGCGCACACTGTGCGCACTCTTTGTAGGCAAATATTGGGGACGCTTTGTCAAGAATACGCGATTCCGGCAGCCCAATAGGTGACCTTTTCTTCGTGATTGAGACTAGGACGCTTGAATAATGAGCCTCTAAGATCGAGAGGTATATCGGCCTCCAAATATCCGAGAGTCTCGGAGAGAAAGATCTTGAAAACCTTGATCCCGTTCCGACATTTGGCATGAGGTTATGTTTCAAAACTTCGATGATGTTCGACTCCACGCCCCATGAAATGTTCAGAGTCGGATCATCCGACCCTGACTCCAACATCCGACTCGGATGTCGTCATCTCAGAGAGTCGCTCATTGGAAAACGTTGTCAGATTTTGTTGCAGTTGTCAAATCAAAATTCGAATGTCGCTCAATGGTGTTTAAGCGGAATGTTTCAGAGACATTCTCGGAGTACTTGCATGCTAGTAGCATGATGCTACCGGGAATATTCCGGAGCTCGTTCGTAGGAACCACCTTCTCAACACACGTGGATGTCGATGTGGTTCCTGGGATCCGCAGCGCCCTCCAATTTCCGTTCTCAGGCGACGGAATCTTTATCTACTTCTCGCGCTACGATATGACCTAACAACCCAACACAGCATTGCGGGTTGAACTAGTGTTGGGTAACCCGCCGGGTTACAATTTGCAGCCGATAGGTTGTTATCCACTTATTTATTTCACTATTGTCACGCGCTTATCAGCTGATGCCTCCTATCTCATCAAGAAGGCTATACTCTCCTAGATTGGATCCCCACTCTCATATCGTCACAAAAGGTTCTGTTCTTGGTTATGTTGAGTTGCATTTGTCATCAAGTGTCTTGAGTCATCAATCTTCGCGTGGCACGCGGATCAAGTGAGCAACGGAGTGCACTGTCGGAATTAACGTTCCTCATGATCCAATACAGATTGACAAGAAGTGGAGTTTCCACCGAGGGAATAACAAAACCCATAATATTGTAAGTCACAGACGTGAGTGCAGTCACCCGTGGTTGGGAAGCCGCAGTGTTTTTGCTTCGCGGCAAGGACATTTAGACTTTGGCTCAGAATCGAGCCTTTGTTGATGTTCTGCATCGGAGTTCAATCCACGAATTGTGGACCACCAAATGGTAAGTTCAGTAACATCCTCGGACAACTGTGGTTCTCTGAGCTCCTTGCCACTGAATATTCTCCGCATGCCGATCAAATACCCGCGACTAGTCTCAAGGCGGTCACGATAGCTAGAGACTCGCGGGAACGCTCCTCGCTGCCTCGTGAATGTTCATGCCTACATGTCTCGCGTTTGGCTGTGCACAGCAGGTATACAACCCAGATCCCCGCCACACACGAGCCAAGTCGACGCTCTTGACCCGGGGCGAGCCGGGAGCGTCCGTGCGGAGACAAACGCTGCGAGGCCGGACGTACCGGTGGCGACCCAATCTTCCGGTTTAGTCTTAGTCTCGTTTTCTCCACTAGTGATGGTATCCCTATTGGGTTCGGAAGTATTACGGAGGTCTACGAGTTATGCATCGAGATAACTGACCGCTTGTGTAGCAGCGGCTTGGGCTTTGTATGGGCCTCGTTATGGTGGTGCCAATGAGGCTGTGTTACGTATGTCGGAGAGGAATGGATCTATCGAGAATATATCCAACTTCATGGAGAAGATCGTATCACATCATTTGATTCACATGTTGGTTACTGCTACTCTCACCGCCAGATCATATTTGGGCGAAGCGACGTAAGGAGCTCCCCATGGGCTTCGGTCATCGACAATACAAGCATTATGACCCTAGAGCGGCCATTGTGAGGAGGATTGCTGAGGACGCATGGTGTGTGGGAACTGCAGGGTTACGTGCTTCCAGTTTTCCGAGATTTGTGGTAGAAACCCGTTGATAGAAGTTGCAATGGAGCTGCGAGCGCGTCGCTCTGTCCGATTCATACCTCACGGATAGGAAACTTTATCCCAACGAAGACTTCTATTCGGGATCGGTATACAAGGCCGTGTGTTTCCTCACTGGTATCAGGGAATGCAGGTTATCATTTCACATTATCACTCTTGTCTAAGATATGTTCCCCGAGATTAGCTTGATGGTTAGCGCGCTGACCGGAGTGGATTGATGATCCACAGAACAGAATTTACCGACCCTCCCAGGAAAAGGCCCACAGTGAGGAGTTGAGGGTCAAACGAATCGCCTTCAATAGGTAAGGCATCATCTCAGCTAGCTTGTAAAACGGTCTCTATCTTAGGCGACGTGATGCCAGCCTCCAGCCCGCGACGGTGGTGGCAACATGTAGGAGTGAATGTGAACGAGTGGATCAAGGATTAGAACCACTTAGTTCTCACGTGATATCTTATGTGTGTCTTTTGTTATCATGCCTAACTACACTAGCTGCAAGCTTGGTTGCCATCACGACATCTTATTGTTCGTGTTGAGGCTCGTGTTACGTTATCAACGCATTTAAAGCGCATTCGAAACGACCGACTTGCTCATCTTGGTTTATCTTGCAATTTCTCCACGGTACTGCCTCCTGTCACGGTCAGTGAAGTATGGCGTTTTTCGTTGATAGTAGACGGCTATCATGTTCAGAGGATTTCACCTATCGTGACAGTATCACTCGTAGAGTGCGTGAACTGGCAAATATAATCAATTGTTGTTCGAGACGGCATGTCGAAGGAGACTGGACGCCGCATATCACCAGGCACATCGCCCTGACCTGCCACATTAGGGTTCTATGGCCCAGCAGGAGTTTGGGAGGTGACCGGGCAGTATACATATGCATGATGATTCTATGAACGCTCAGTATACGGTACAGATACTTATTTTGGAAGCTCTAGGACCGAGGAGATTGAGTCCTCACCGAGGGATTTGACAGTAGGAAGGTCCATGTACACCCTTGTGATAACGTGGTGCACAATTGCACTGCTGGACGTTTCTACTCGCATATCTGTGTGCTTTTTGTTGCGGGAAGGCTCGAGTATTCCTTCAGAGAATTTGAGTAGTATTATAGTGATGCCATTACCAACGATCCGGGTATCGTCAAATGAGCAGGGCTCGTCACGGGCAAGGCAGTCACCTGATGACGACCCACCCGAGGATAGGAGTTCTGGTAGGATGGTAGAGTGTAGGGATGGCCGATACGATAGTGTTATGATAGGGTATCATGAGGATCTCTCGATGTCACAGAGTGGTAGTAATAGTAGATGGCTCAAAGCGGATGCAGAAGACTTCGTGGGTGCCCCCAATGTGATAGTGCTAATAGCATGGCTTCGAGCATGCTCAGGTGCCTCATACATCATCTCAGTGTAAATCGGAGACAGGCAGTCTCTCGGGAGCGCTTAGGTCAGTTTGCTGTAAATTTCTCATGTTGTATTTCATGGACTGTATTTTCAGTGTCGGATCGGGTGCAGTAGGAAGCAGGCGTGGTATAACTACATCGGGGGACTCTTCATCGTCATCGAGCTTTCAGCCTGGTATAGAGGATGGTGATGAGATTACATGGCTCAATCGTATGGCATGCGTAACAATCACCATGAGGGGTATGCTTGTTGTTATTTATTGTGGCTCCTGAGCAGGAACATGGTGTTAATACGAGTCGCAGTGATGATGAAGGCCCATATAAGCTGTTTGTAGGGTGTTTACCGTTCGATACGACGGAGCATGACTTGTAAACAACATCAACAGGTTTATATTCATGGGGCTAAGGTCATTCTGCCATCAGATTCCCTCTATTCGCACAGTTTGGTGAAATAGTAGAATTGGCTATACAACGGGATAGGGAAGGACGAAGCAAGGGCTGTGCATGGCTGAAGTATTATGAGGCCCCCATCCGTCATGCTCTCACCCTCGTTGTTAGATACCTCACACGAGAGTCCTGCGATGATTGCATCGCTAGACTGCATGGACAGTTTTATGTCGGACATGTGAGGATTGTATCATGATGCTGGGTCTGGCACTATCGGACAGGTTCGTGCTGCTATGCAAGTAAAATACGCAACAGGGGAGCTTGAGAAAAGAGAAAACCGTGTCTATTTAATCGGCCTACCTAGAGATGAGTAACACTGAACTATCTTCTCTATCATCATGATGCTGTTGCTGCTGTATATAGGACGGTGATGGCCGAGCATGAGCTTCTGACAGCTCTCGATGCATATGGGGAGATTAGAGAGTTCGTACTCTTCCGGCAAGGGGGTCGCAGCGTTGGTGCATGTTTTGTCAAGTTCACTGCTAGAGAGCCTGCAGCCGCCCTCGTAGGCAGTCGAAGCTCTCTCATTGGATTGTGATTGTTATTGTTAGGTACAAGCGTGCCACCTACGTCAATTCCACGTCAATGACAATATACATCTACCTGCAGTACGGGCGTACTTCGCTACCCAGATCAGACGTTTCTCGAGCATGGGTTCATCTCAATCACCGAATTCACAACTTGAAAGAGGACAGCCCCTGAAGGGTCCCAGCAGTAGAGGTCGGTCCTTGATAACATTCCATTTCCATGCATACCGCCATCCATTGCAGATGTAAAGAGCACTGCTGGGTTTGAAGATAAGAGTCAGCAGGAGGAATCCCTAAGAACAGGAGGAGGAGGAGGCTCTCAAGCACCTGGGGTAGGTGGACACCGATGTGACACCAGTTCATGTTATGCCATGCAGGTTGATCGCTCGCCCGATCCTACTTCTACTGGCTTACTCAGACCTGCAGACTCCGAAAGTAAGTGTTCGTGGAGTGGTATGATGACTTTAATCCTCTCACATTAGGCAATCCTGAAACGCGACAGCCTCCGAGTGTCCTGGTGCCCAGTCCGAATCTCCCACAGGAAGGTCTTACTCCGGCTAAGGTAGAGTCTTGTCACAATGCCCATGAAGTGATTTGATCTTAGCTTTTCGTTGGGTGCCTACCGTATAGTAAGACGACGCTCGACTTGGCGCAATTGTTCGGACAGTTTGGTCCGATCCTTGAGGTTGCCTTGCTTACTAATTCTGAGGGGAAGTCCAAGGGTGCTGCTTTTGTTACATTTGCTTACGTAAGTATATTATCTTTATGGTCACGATTATGGTTACGGTGATTAGGCTCCTGATGCTGAGGCTGCGATGTCTATGAATGAGTATTGTTTTCCGGGCTCATCACGATCTATCAACGTATCATATGCTACCAATCAGACATGGGTGCCTGGTGGTATGGGCAATAACAACAACAACAATGGTCGTAATGCCCTCCCTAGAGGGCAAGGAGGCAACGTCTCAAGGACCGTAAGCAGCTATTGAGGCAAAGCTAGTGTTAGGTCTATTCAGGGTGGCGGCGGGGGCGGTGGCACTCAGTCGTACTTCCCCCTCAAACACGGCATTCCTGGTGCTGCTGGAAGCCCACCGTTGATGTTTACCTCTAATCGTAATCCAACAGTGAGCTCAGTAGCAAGCACAGCGTAAGTACCCCAGCTCTATTATTCCTGCATAGAAAAGCATTGTCAGATATGATCAGTCGCCACCATTCGGCCCTTTAGCTTCTGTCGGGGGGATACTGCTACCTGTTGAATCTCTCCATCAAGGACATCATCATCATCATCCTGGCAACGGTGCACCTCAACTACATGATATACCGGATCTTAGCCCAACTGGTATACTCGCTGATGATATCACTAACTTTTTGCTTGAGTATGAGGAAAGCCTCTCTAGTGAGCTACCTCCTCTTTGATATGAACAACATCCAATAATGCAATTCGATAGCAGCCTTTGATGAGATAGGTATACTAGTATAATAGACTGATCACTCTCATAACGCTGTGTCCTCGATAGAATATTTCTGCTGCTGCTACTAGGCGGACTCGATCCTGAAGCTTCCCATTGTTGGTGGTGGAGAGACTGTGACATTTGTTCTTTGTATTGGGGGTATGACGCTAGTGTTGTAGGGATGGATGCATCATCATTATCGACACTACTCATCTTCGCTGCCGCCATCTGTCGATCGTGTGATAAGTCGTGCTCATTAACATCGATATTTATTGCATATTCAACCAAATAACACATTTTCGCTCCTAGACTTAGTCTGTCAGACTAACAGTGTCCGTCAGCGCGTAACTACGTCCATTGCTCGTTACTAACTTGTCCTCTACGACTCCTGCTATACCGATGCTCTTGATGATAGTTTAAGTAGATGTATAGTGAATGCTATCAATACAAGCTCAGTGCCAAGGTCATTGCATGTATAGGCTCTGTGCTCAAGCTCTTCTACTACTTCTACCATGACTATTACACTACACTACTGTATTTACTGTTATTATTACTGATGCTAAGTAGTAGAGCTTCATGCTCATAGTGCGACTGCTAACGGGGGCTTCCTGCACCAGTCTAGTGTTATTGCTACTATCACTTAACCTGCAGTCTATCCTTTTGCCGAGATACGTTTCAAACGCGCTAGTGAATTCCTTATTCCGTTTGTAAATTAGATAGTGTCGTGAGTAACACGGTGAAATGTTGACAACCTTGCTCTCTGGCTTCAGGGGTATCGGCGACTATAAATCATATATCAGCGATGAACCCGAACCAACAGCAACAGATAATGTCGAGATTGCTCGCTAATATGGTTCAAGTAGGTTCCTATCGTATACACAGCTGCACGACAGAACCTCTGCAATGATCGTGTTAATTGATAGGCCAAGTAGCTCAAGATTGAAAGAATCATTTCAGGGGACCAATCTTGGTGGCATCGCCCCTAATCCGCAAGTAGCAGCGGCAGCGGTGGCTGCTCATCGACAAGCCTTGGCAAACGCTGCTACAGCTGCAGCGTTGGCGGCAGGGGCTCAGCAGTCTCCACAAGCCAGCAATGACTTCACGAATGCTAATGACCTATCTCCACAGAGTGCCTTTATCCATCACATTAGACACCCTATGCCCGGAGGGTCACCGATAGTTCGAATCCCTAGCACGGACGGCGAGGCAATGGTATATTCGGAGATGGTCGTCGTCAATTTGATTTGTCCAATCTTGTTGTGCTCTCAGATGTCCACGATGGCAAGCGTGAACCCTTTCTCGAACTTCTTGCCGGCTCCTCCTCCTCCTCATTCTCAGGGAAGTCCTTCGAACACTGCTGTCTATGGGTAGACTGGAGCACTTGTCTGTCCCTTACTGTAAGAGGTGCATTCAGGATGATGCAGTACCAGCAACAATTTGGACAGCAAAGTCCATCGAATGTTATGTTACCGATTATACCACCCCACTTCCGATGTAAGACATCTTCCCATAGTGGCGTAGTGATGGAAACCTGTCGGTGTGTATTCAGCTGGCAGTCTTGCTCCGGGCTCTGACTGCTCTCCGACCTATGGTATCATCCAAGGCTATCTATCTCCTCTGCACTTCTCTACTAGTGGAACACGTTTGAATACTGTGACTGATGATACTGCTGCTGGGGTCTCCTTTTCCCCACCGGAAAGTAGGCACGTGTGTTGGAGCGTACGAAGGCTTATACGTTGTACTTCAGGTATATCTAGTTAGGCATATCACTGATGATGACGAGTAGCAAAGGCTATCGTTATCATTATTGCCACCATTTCTGTGTAAAACTCGGTCTGCAAAATAATCTCTCCAACTGGCAGTCATTTCTTTGGTCACGTCGTTTTCTAACTATCACCTTATCCTGCTTTCGAGCAACCTTTTCACTATTCATGGTATCTGATAGTATCTCTCACAGTGTTTTCATCGCATTAACAGTCACCTGTGTTGATGCTGTCTACATGAGAGCATAACCGACAGGCTTTGCCTTACAGTCTACTCTTTGTCTTTGCTCTCACCATTTTTCACGGGCGTGTATGACGGTGTTGAAATTTTGCGAGTGTCTTCGGTTCCTGATGGACGGATGATGTGTCTTTGTTGTTGTGACTGCAATTGCATGGTTGACGATGATGATGATGATGATATGAATATAATAGCCAAATGAGTGTAATCTGTGGAAGCTATCGGTGTTCATCATGATGCGCTGCGTATGTCGTGAGAGGCTCAGTCACCCTTAACTATCAGATCAACATCTAAATTGGATTTCTATGGAATTATGTTGATGTCTTCCTCAGTGCCACACGGAGGCACATAAATAATCTATGACGTAAATACTAACAACCCTACCTATCACTGCTGTTACCCAACATCAATGTGTGTAGAGTTCAAGTTCGAACAGTCTGCTGTGTGGGAGTCATCCCCTCTCGGGTCTGGTCGTGTCTGCTTCTCCAGACTAGGAGTTTCGGTGGTTGGTGATCATCAGGGCCCATCGCGAGATATGACAATACTAGTTGGCTTCCCAACAGGCTATAGCAAGACTGGTATAGAGTCGCTCCACTAGATTCCCGTCAGCGTTGCAATCCCAGTCTCAGTTTTTCTACTAAATATATATGTCTGGCTGTATCCTGTCAGTTGCGGGTATCTTTATTATCGCTGTGAACGTCATCACCCCCATTGTATATTCTATGGGCATCGATACCAACATCAACTGTGTCCTAGCTTGTCAATCAATCAGTGAGTGCAGTAGTGATCCTCTGTCTCACTTGACATACTGTAAATACTGGCAGGATCCCCCGACGTGTTTTGGTATTTATATTCGATCTGACGGCACTGCGTGCTTCCATCCGAATGACCCAAGTTGTAATGATTGGGCTCTTGAACGGATGACATGTGATAGGAAGATTGCCTACTCTTCTGTATTCACAACCTACACAAGGCAGTCTCACGAATCATCTAATATAGACACCTCACCAAATGCAGCCTCGACCTTGGGAGAAGGCCTAGGGGATTCTACTACGACTTCATCTCCGTCACCAGGAGCTTCTGCAGCGACAGCTATTTCTCCAACAATTGAAAATGCTTCGACAACTTCGTACATTCGATCCGGTATGGTTACTGTGTCGCCTACTCCGCTAAGTGACAGCGAGCTTATTACGAGTACTACGTTGACGACAACAACGGATAATCACAGCTGGGCGACTCCTGCGACAATTTCCACGCCGTCCTCTACTCCGGAGGTTACTGCTGACTCTCCTACAACTGAAGAGTCTACAGCATCTACCGCTCACTCGAAGAGCTCCACTGATCACGTCATTCCATCGAATGATGTCTTCACTTCAACATCTGTATATACAGACACTACCACCATGGGAGTGTCCACATCAATCTCGACTACGAGCATTATTCCTATGGAGCCTAGTACAACAAGTTCCTCTACGATGGCAGCCAGCACCTCGTCGGAGATGAGCGACACGGTGGCTCGCTCATCGGATTCATATGTTACTTTCGGAACTGGGACTGTTGTTCTCTATCCCTTCAATTAATTATATATATACATTTTATGGGTCAGAGAGGCTACTCTGAGCTCATGAATACCTCACATGCACGAATGTCTGCCAGTAGTGCGTGAAATCTGCGAATATGATGAGTGGTTTCCTTTACTCCGTGACTGTTGCCTTATATATCTATTCTTTGGATAAAGGAATAGTTGAAAGGATATCGAAGTAAGCAGGGATGCATATCGTATTTAAACCTCCAGCTGTGTGGACTGGGAGTCGGGGCACTATTCGCGACTAAGCGGGAGACAATCATGGTAGCTAAGAGCTCGCGGAAACGCTACCCGCTTTCGTGTGAATGCGGAGAGTTGGTCTGATGTCAAAGTCGTAAGTTACAACAAGCTTCGTATTCCGCAATCTTGCGCACTTATCGTAACTGAAAACTATCATGTGGGAAACTCGAGGCGTGGTAATAATCTTGCGCTGTTGGAGTTTGTGATGAGGATTAGCACCTATTCGGACTACTCTCAGATTTAGTTTCAATTCTATATGGAAGCCAGCACATCCGAGTCTATGTCCTCTCGAAGCAAGCCTACTTTTAGAGTAGCTGTATCACTGAAGATCCCTGATTGCTCGAGTGACGATGAGATTGATAGTCTACGGCCCAAGAGTTGCCCCCATTCAGCAAGAGGTCGTCGGGGTGGTAGTCTACCTTGTGAAAAGCTGATGCTGACCTTAGGCTTCGGTTCGCTCTCCTCGACGGTTGATGATACCTCGATGATAAAAGAGAAGGAACTCAGTCTGATGAGGAACCAATCCAATGTGGAGCTGCTCACTACCCCACAAAGAGATCAATTCGATGCTTTTGTGAGCGATACTATGCCCAGAGGCTGGCACTTACCCTGTCGGTGATAGGTGTCTAAATGTACTGGACCATGGAAGGAGGATCTACTCCATTATCCTGCTACTGAGGAGGATATTGACAGCCATTCTGATGTCTATGACTTCGAGCATGCTGGTAGTACTTATCGCGCCGATCTAGGCAGAGTAGGATGCCAGGTTATGAGTGCCGGTTACGGCGAACACCCTACTATGCATGGCAAGGCTTCCTTTATCTAGATCCTACTCATCCATTGTAATACATCAACAACAGTATCGAATAATGTTCACTGTCAGATATGGTCTTAGACTACTCGACTTACTCTCTCGTAATCCTCCCTTTGATGTTCATGGGGGTATAACAGGTAATAGTTGTTCATGATTGGCTCAACGTGGAGCAACAGTGATAAGCAGGCTTTAACGATGGTTGTGTGGTTTTTGATTGTAATCATGCGATGCTGGATGTGACTCCATTTGAGCCCTTCACCAAGACCAATGAGATGCAGAAGATGATAGGAACGTTTGCGAATACTAAACGAGAACAATCTGGGAGTGGTAGTAGGGTTAGGAGTGATAAACTGAGCCTGACGTTGGTTGTAATCTCAGGTAATGAAGAGGAGGTTGAGGAGGAGGTGGGGGACCCTGTTAATCTCGCTCCTCCCCCTTTCTACAGTCAGACTATCCCGGGTAAGGAATTTTTACATGGATAAGTTGTTATTGGTCATTTACAGGAATGAATTCGGAGGCAGGTGGCAGGCCTAGGAGATCTTATAAGGCATACTCTTTTGCACGACGGAACCTGTGTAGCTTGGCGGAGCAGTTCCGAGCTATTGCTGATAATCAATCGTATATCGATAATACTTGAGATTTTATGTTATGACCTTGTGGATATCAACTTTTTCTATTCGGAAAGACTTCGCGTTCTTAACCAGTCCCAAAATCGATTGACTCATGCCTAACCAGAATAGCGAATACCCAAGATCATCATATGGACTCTTATAGGAATTCAAATTCGCTTAGGGAAGTCAGAAATTATCACCCAGGAGCCGAGGACGAATTCATCTGCATGAGCCGCACAGCTTATCCATACACACTCGTGTGAAACTTTCTTCGCGGTCGAATATCGTGACGAGCGATCTTGGCGTAAATACGAATATTTCGATCATATCTATTTTTGGGGCTCACACAGCATCGGATTCGATCTTCGACACTGAATTGGTTCCGGGTAAAATCAAATTCCATCGGGTTCTACTGATTTTGATATGAGCTGCACTTTACGGCTGTGGGCTCCTCTCATCTCGAACTTGATTTCATTCGTTTGCTCAGGAATATTAAGTTACAGGAACACTGGAACTCATGACTCCTCACCCATAGGAAGCTTTGCTAGTAGCAAGTGTATCACAGTCCACTGTTAAATATGTAGGAACATCGCGAAGGTTGGGGAACATAGAAACAGGCGGGTATCATATGGCTCGACATTCGGGGATACCGACGAAGCTATAGTGTTGAAGAAAACATTGAAAACTTTGCTGAACCTCATAGCTGAACTGGCTTAATAGTTTTTCTTCCAGTCTGATGGTGAGTTCCGAGCCTTCGTTGTTAGAGCGAAGGTATGAATCTGAAAGATTGAATAGGGTGTGTGGTGGCCATGTATATTGTGTGTTAATTACCTGGTCAATGCACCATTCGATGTCCTCAAGCATTGCCTTGGAGCTGTCGACTTCTTCTTCGAGACCCTTGCGCTTGGCCAGGAAGGGAGCACGGTCCTAAACTTACTAATACAGCTGATTTGAGAGAATAGGACATTACCTCCGGCCGGAGCTGGATGACACTCATCTCTCCTTGAAGATGCCTTGCCATAGGCAACTGGAAGAAGCTATCCGCAAAGAGCTCTAGTTGGTCACAGAGACAATTTCGAATGTTGATGAAGGTGATCATCATCAGAGTTTGAATCTTCTCAACAGCCTCTTCAATATCCAACTGACAGAATCCGTGCTTCGTTGGGATATTCCTATAATTGCATTTACTGGGTCTGTGGGTATGTTATTCAACCGCTTCCTGAGTTTCCGTTCCATCCTCGATCTAAATTCAATTTCTACGGGTATCCTGGCCTTGGTATCATCAAAGGAAGGCAAACACATATCCTCGAATCCTTCATCAGTAAGATCAATCTGCCATGATGATGCCTGAGAAGGAGACTAGTTATCGTAAGGGGGAAGTGGGATGGTATGGTACCACCTTGACCAGTGCCCAAGGATTGGCAAATGCCGACTGCAATGTATTCTGGAAGAGCTGGAAGAAGAGCCCATACTGTCGCTCCAAGGCCTGGTCGAATTTCCTGACTCAGCCATAAGGACAGTAACGTGCGGACTATCGGGGGACTCACTCATAGATGAGCTCTCGGCATGCATCGTTATCCTGTATCATCTTAACACGTTTACTGAATAACTGGGAATATAGATGTTCATCACAGGAGCCCTTCAAATTAGCCATGAATTCTACAACAACCTATAAAAAACCTGTACCCCCACAGCGATGATGATAAGTAACCTACCTCCTTCTGCTTGAGGAAAAACCATTCAATGCGTCGACCAACATAGGCAATCTTATTTCGGACATTCTGCTGACCTTCCTTCGCCAACAGCTTTAATATGACGTCTTGCCAAGAGACCTACGGTTGGTGACACTATGACCAACTCGATGAGGCCTGAGTTCACTCACTTGGCTCACACTAACACCTCGGGCCTGTATAACATCCCGCTTTGAAATCTGAGAGGAGATGATAGGCCTGTAGGATAGTAGTGACCACAGATCATAGTACATCAACACATATATCCGAAAACCGGAAGAAGACCTCACATTCAAACTTGAGACGCTTGAACTGAGCACCACCATTTAAGGGTTGATCAAATGAGGGCACCTGCTACGGTTGATAATCATGGATAGCTATGGTCATTGCCTTGCCTTGCAGTCCTTCTCTAGATACTCGATGTATTGATCTAGACTGCCAAAGTCCTAGGATTAACACAGTGATCTGCGATGCAGCAGCAACATGATAATAACGGTACTACATCAGTTGGTAGAAGTGGGAAATCCTGACTGAAGTCTTGCAGCTGCATCCATTGATGGAATTCATATAGCTCATCAGCCAGTGTAAGCCGATTAACCTGGTAATAGTAGTAGCACGTAGATGATGAACAAAGAGGCCGCCGCCTACCTCTGATCGTATGCTCCCTTCCATCACATGGTTGAGTGCCTCCGAGAAGGACCTCCCCGCAGCGCGTACTGAATAATGACAGTGAATTGCAATTGTCGCGACTATAATAACACTCCACTTACTGGTGTTCACTATTTGGTCAGGATCCGTATCGTGCAGCATTTGTTCATTAGACTCTTTCTTACTTGTCCACTCCTTATCTAAGTCTTGGAGCTTACGCAAGCATGGACCGATCGACTCCCTAGTAAAAGAGACATCATAACAACAACAACCTCCATGATGATATTAGGCTTACGTGAAGAGTGACTCAATCTTCTTTTCCATAAAACGGGCGAAGTTTTCAAAGCCCACATATTGCATGAACTGCTGTGAGGCTCCCTTAGACTTCACCTCCGCAAGATCTCTATCATTCATATCCTTCCTGTGCACAAATGACAGTATCAATAACATCATCACTTCAACTACTACTACTACCTCAGCTTTATAAACGGTTTTGGAGGACCACCGTGTTTCTCATCCCAAAAAGGTAATGTAAGGCAAAACTTTACAAGGTTATCCGGGAGGTCACCGTACCTAGGAGCACTCGTCTATCAGCACCACTCCAGCAACAGGCCGCTACTCACCCTCCCAGCCACTCATTGATATTCTGGGCCGTAAGATCACGATAATATCTGGGCAAAGATGATGAGGAAAGTTCGGGAGAAGGAACTCACTTATCCAGTTTATTTCTGATGAGTATTGTCCTATTATAATAAGGATCCACCCTTTTGCATTTAGCCAGTGTCGAGAGGTTAGCTGCATCACCAGCCTAGTAGACCATAGTCACGACGACCATAGTGCATTGAATGTAATACCTCTTCCACACAGAGCATCACATTACGAGGGTCGTGCATGAAGGAGCTGACCAAATCATCGATCTGATCTGCTAGGGACTGCTTCTCCTTGTCTAGCGCAAATTCTCTGAAGAACACATAAACCGTGTAACGCTAATGATGACGAATATGAGGGAATACCGAAAACCGGGTAAATCCGTAATCTGCATATCTACACAGTTCTTGCCCTCTACCCTAACATAGATAGGGTCCTTGGTTACATTAGCACCAAGAGACTCGTGGGCATCAGAAACTATTTTCAAAACCTGAGATATGATGTCAAGATCATGAGGGTATGGGGAACTTCACTTGAGGCAGTGTTTTCTCTTCCCAAACTTGGGTAGATGTATTCAATATTTGCCATCTTGATATGGCCAGCTTGGGATCATTACGGAACTCTAGTACAGTTGGACGCCTAGACCCGAGTGATCCAGAGACGAAGTTAAACTGATAATAGGAGGTGTAGCTACAATAATAACTCCACTGTACTACCTGTTCGCCAGCTAGAGCCTCAACTAGACGACTTTTCCCCACAGACTGTCGGCCGATTAGAATGAATTGTGGTATGGGAAAGTCCACACCAGCTGAGTCAACCACCACCACCAAGTTTTACATAAGCCCCCTTGTAATTGATATTACTCAGTTTATCCTGCACCCTCGACTTTATCTGTGATACTAGATTGAGCAGCTCATTACGAGAGCTGCGAGCCGCTGCTGTGCTACCGATTGCACCATGCCCATCATCACCATCTGCTGCTGCTGCTGCTGGTGTAGGCTTACTATCATTCATTACTTCTACACTCGATACCATCACTATACAACAACTGGACTCAACAAATACTAAGCTAATCGAAGCTCCACCCTTCCCCCTCTGATATTAGTGTTCCTATGAACTTGCACAACATGAAGATATTGCAAAAACTACCGAAACATGTTCCATACTAGTCAACAATACGGAGTTACTTGTCTTCCACCTCAAAGCCTTCAGCCCTAACGAAGAGCCCTCAAGCAACCTCACTTCCTACTACTACTACTACTACTACTACTACCTCAGACACTGATTGTGTGCTAGGATGAATTGTCTGCATTTATCTTCACCATTCATGACTATGCACTCATCACGTGCCGCCTTAGTCTCCTACAAGCCAACTATGACAACAACTGGAGCAAGCCTAGTACGACACACCTTGCATACACAGCATATCCTCTTCCCTGTAGTAGGGGAGACCTTAGCATCACAGGGAGCCTTGGGCCCAGGGGCCGATTCATTTGAAGATGTCGGGGCAGCGGCAGGAGCCGTAGAAGAGTTACCCATTGGAATGGTAATTACTAAACGGCCGGCCGGGATCGATTACAAAGTGATATTCAAAGCATACAAAGACAACAGTACAGGGTAGAACCACGACTTCACGTGTGCTGTGTTGGTTAATTAGCGGGTTCCAGAATATCTACGATGAGAATGGCCATGAACATATGAAAAAGGATACCAACTCAGAGTAGGTAAGAAATGACCCAAGCTCTATAATTGACAGCTTTGTATAGCTGTCTATTCCTCTGATAGGAGGACTACTGGCATACCCATAGAGATAGCTTGTAAAGTGTATTTGCCACTCGACACCATCACGATGATGATAATGCACTACAGTAAAAGTAGTCAGGCTACGCTATTAAAGGCCTTTTGAGCCCTTTTCCACTACCAGACAATATTGAACCTCTCACTAGCTACCCCCACTGCACCCATAAATCATCATTGGAGTTTCACCCGTTTTACGTGAAGTGGTGTAATTCTCCGTGAAAAACCCGATAATCGCGTTATGCAGTAGTCGTGAAATATATTCTTTACTAGTGTTTTTCTGAAAAACTTTTTCATATCACGGGTGAAACTCCATTATTACCTTCCCACCCAAATACTGGTGAGTGTCGTGTGGCTTCAGCATGCCTATATGGTTACTCTAAATCGTCAACATTGGTGTTTTATCCTGGCCTCATATTCTTCCAGGAGAGCAATAGCCCTTCTATTGGATCTACCCCATGGGCAGATGAAGGCATCTGAACCTAGACCGGTCTATCTTTCTCTAGTCGGTGCGTTGAAGAAGAGCAAGATTGATTAGATAGCGCAAGAATCGTGCTGAGTGATTCAAGACCCATCACAATTGGGTCTCACAACACGGCCATAAGAGGTAGATATGTGTGGGGATTATAACACACAATGTGCTTCAGGTTGTGGGGCATATCGAAGTATAATGGTGGTGTGTCTGAGCGGAGACCAAGCGGCGATCAAGACTCATTGACTGAGGAATGGGTGATCCATCGTCACCACGACCTGCCGGTAGTGGTGAACACTTCCGGTTGGCGAATGGTAGAGGTAACCACTGCAATGCCCTGCTAATAAGTGGATATCCCAAGTGTTGATATAACATACAAATCTGTGTTACTTGCGTGTAAATCCTCTTCGACCAGAAGGCTAGGGAAGCGACCTCTCGTGGTGTCGTTCTGCCAGAGGGCTTACGGCCTCTCTACCAGTGTGGATATGAGTGAATTGTGGTATCTCTCGAGTTTTGATCATTTCACGTTATCCCCCTACATGGTGCATGTTGATCCAATTAACTTGTTGACTCATGCAGTCTGCTGCCCCTAATGCTAGACATTTTCAACTCTGTTCACTTGTTTCGTTATCCAATACAAACTAGTCGTTACTCATAGATAAGAGAGTCAACCATTTCATCTCACCTGGTGCGGGAGTAATCTATATGTGGATTGTATGCATGGAATATAATAAAATGAATACTCAAGCAACGTCCTGTAAGGTGTCCAGTTGTGGTTCACCTAGTTCGAACTCGTGATAAACGCTCCACACTATCTATGCATGTCACAAGTTTACTGGAACAAACGCTACTCGCTATTGTCACACACAAATGTGCGCTGACTATGGCAACGTACGATGCCAAGAGTTGGGAGCGACAAGTAGTACAGTCAATTCGAGAACAACATGAGTAAGAGTTCAGGCCGAGATCCATGCTCTCCATGAAAGGAATACCTTCGAGAGATCTGGTAGATGGGGGGATCTATCCGACCCGAATCGACGAGAGATGGATAGTAGTGGTCGGAGGTAAGCTGCGCTCACCACCTCACCAGTCCACGAACTCAATAGCTAGATATGATCCTTACATGTGGACCGACAGGGCACAGTATGCGGCAACTCAACGGCGAAGACTAGCAGAAGTTGATACTACACAGGTAAGACTGAGATCAGGAGAGCACGACCAATGTGAAGTGCACCGTTGCTGTGACCAGATCCAGAAGGTTCAATGCCCTGATGGAAAGACTCAATGTGAATCCGGACAAGTGTGTGTGGGATGTTTCTGCACGACTTTTGCCGTCAACACATACGTGGGGGGACTGAGGTAATGCTGCTGTTGATCGTATCAATAACATATTCTACCGTCAGATACATGGCCAATGGTGCCTGCGAATGGAGCGATTGTCGATGTGGTACTACGCGATGATTGTTATAGTCATATTGAGTCAATGTTGAATTAGAATAGTCTCTCATCTACTACTGACACGTTGAAAAGCAAGAGCACATATTCGGTTGAAACCCCAAGGAAAGCAGCAATCGTAACAAGGATTCAACAATGTACACGGTTGATAGCTGGATGGTGGAATCAGTATTAGAGCAAGCAATTGTGAGTTATTATCCATGGTGACACTACTGAGTAAAGGACAAGTAATTTCGAGAGTCTACCCGGCTGCTGCTGCTGCTGCTGCTGATGCATACTAGTTCTGCAGCATATCATCATGGGTACAAATTAAGTAACACATACTATCTAAAGATCAATAGCATCTCTCACAGAATGTTTCATAGGAAATGTTGTTGAATAATCGAGATCAGACATACTGGATAAAGGAGCATGAAGAAGCAGAATGAGACTGCACTTAGATACCTAAAGGAAATGAGTTGACAAAGGAGTGGTATTAGGACTATACTCACCAAGTCCAGTCTCTATTGCCTGCGAACATGACACAATACAGATATGTCGGCATGACATAACACATTGTATTGCCACCAAGTAGACCAGCAAGCTCCATGATTATTCCTAGTGAATCCACGGCCATGCCGAGGATGGTAATAGATGCGAGTAGCACTGTAGTGAGCAGAACCCTGAAACCCATGATGTGATTGAGCATGAATCGCTACAATGAATCGCAATACATCCCTAAGACTACCTGAATCTTCGTTCCTTTACAGGGTCACTTGGTACGTCGCCTTTAAACCAGAGTACAGTTATTGAATTACGGCATGGGTGCATAGCCAAAGGTAAGTTAATACCGAGACTCAAACTAGCTGCTATGTATCCCAACTTCACTGGATATGATTCCAGTGGCAGGTTATGTAGGAAGTTGGAGTCAACACTCTCACCAAAGGTCATGTACGGAAAAACCATCACAGTAGTGTAGATGATGAATCCGGACAGTACAGTCCAGATACCCATCTTCTCGAGTTTACCCAGAGAAGGATACCGTAATTCGTTGCAGACTTTATACAAGTTCTGCTGACAGCTGAAACAGAATATGAAAACGGGTAGCCTCGAGAAAAGTCCGGAAGCCGATAGTGGCCATATAGTAACGTTGTCCCAGGAAGGGCGCGCATAGACGATACTTAGAATGGCCAGATAGGCTAGGTTGGCTATACCAAACATATTCACAGCCTTAGTAGCAGTAATTGACTTGCAGTATACGGCAGGTGCCAGGAGCACAACCAATACAATCTGTACTAAATACTTCACTATTTGACGGTCAATACTGAGTGAGAAACCCTGAAGTACAACCTCGGCCATCAGGCTTCCCACTATTTGAATATAAGCAACCGAGGCACCAAACGCCTTTACAGCTATCCCCAGGTCAATCAACCTGAACAACGATAAGTATTTAGCTATTGATGAGACAGTGTATTACCAGCTAGTTTTAGGAGATACAAGTTTGGCAACATTGAAAAAGGAAAGCTCTCTTGTAGAAGCGGATATAAACTCCATGGCCATAACGGCTAAAATGTATACCGTAAAATACGTTATACCAGCCGTAACTAGGCAAGCCACAATACCCATCACAAAACCTGCGAGGGAAAAACAGTGGTAAAGAACAACATATACGACAGCGTGTTACCCCATTGACACCCTGCATAAGCCATGCCAAGCATACCACTACCAATCATGGACTTGGTCAAGACAGAATATCTGCAAAACAATAGTGCTGCCCGATATACATTATGGCAAGCAGCCACTTACCCTCCTAAAATGCTGTCATCATCGAACGGCGATTCTACTCCGAGCTTCTTCTCGCTGAATAATAATGGTGTTTCAATACCACTTTCCACGTTTTCACTCGTGGCTTCAGTAGATTGAGTCATGCTCTTCGTGTTATGCCACCTATGGGCTGTCAAAGAAGCAAAACTGACACAATAAGAGACTCAGAAGGAGCTATTTGACTATCATTCACTAACACTAGAAATAGGCGACACTCTAACACGAATCACTGTACAAAATACTATCATGAGCCTGCCAATAAACTAGCTAGCTAGGGTTGGTACAAGTGATATATCACAGCGGAGCGAAACGAATTGTGAATAGCAGTTGTTCTTTTATTAGCTATCATGCTCCGCTCGGGGTGAATATTCATGCGAATCGCATGATGCGATAAGAACAAATGATTAATGAGTAATCATCTAGACATGAGTAATACTACATGTCTAGATACTATCAGTGAGAACGGTGGAAAATGTTGTACGCATGCGCATGGGAGACTAACGCACTGGCTTTAGCTAAGCTTCATGCCTCTATGGGAGGAGTTCATCTGATGGCTGTGTATTCAACTTCGGGTAGAGCTGACCACGGCTACGCTGACTCGCCATCAACTACGTTCTCTACAGATGTGCATTATACGTTGCGAACTCCCTGTCCCAGCCTCATCTCAGGAGAGGACAGTGGTGAATGAGCTCTGTGCTACCGTGTAACTTATTGGTGTATTAGATACAGCAATGAGTGAGCGTATCGAGGATTGAAATCCTCATGTTGAACAACAGGGTCAAGCGGTGGGAGAGTGAACGTGCTAGCGTAATGGAGAGTCTTCGGTCATAAGTCTCATCTCGTGACGACCACACTAAAACGTGATCACGCATGCAGTATCAACGCGAATATACATATCCGATATCACTTAGAACTCAGCAGCAACATTGTACGCCTGGAGCTAGAAAACTAACGCGCACTGGTTACGTATGGCAAGGGATCACATTCAGCCCATGGCGATTGCCGAGATCCACCAAAGGCGGCGCCTTATGACCTGCCTTCGGGCGACCAACGACGTTCTGGTCCACACGTGTTTCAACTTGAAACCTTCAAGTACAGTAACATGACCGTGACTATTAAGAAAGGTCCACAATCGCCATCCTCTGGTTTACGATTCGCCCTCCAGCAAGGTATGGAGATACGTAACGAAATGATCGATAGTCATCAGAATGAAAGTTTATTGACCTCCATTAGCATAATCGCGACAATAACGCTTCCAATTGGTGAAGTATCTCCATGCAATAACGAATAGAGTTTAACAAGGACACTAGTGCGATCCGTATTACTCACGGAGTTTCAGAACCACATAGTTGCAGGTCAATTTTCAATTCGCCACGTCATGGCTAGTGAATTCAGTTTCGGCCTAAATTAAATAATATTCTAATTCATGAAACTAGTACTAGTTGTATACTAATCAGGCCTCATTGAGTTTTTCAATGATTGAACCACAGCTGTAAAATCCGATTATGTTCGTGAGAATGCAGTAAAACCTTTACTGGAAGTCCTCCCAGTAGTCAGGCCACTTCCAGTTGAATAATCTCGCGGCAACGTTCGCAAAAACAACGCCCGATATTGCACGAGTGAGGGCACCTGTCTTCAACAATATCTGATCAGAGCACAAAGAACACAATGGAATAAAGAAACCAGCAATTCCTACCCGCAAATTTCATAGCAGGCAGTGGCTAAATCGAGGCCGAGCTCCCACTGGAAGGCTCCAGCCGACAGGCAGGAACAGTTCATTACTAGGGATGAGATGGCAGGAAGCTGCATTCACCCCTAAGTTAGGGGCCCTAACTTAGCGGTTTATTATATCAGGCTGTTATCCACAATGATGGGCAGATGATAGACGTCTGTGTTGGAAATCGAGGGCACGGAAGCGGGAAGGTCGAGACCAGTAGCAGCAAGAAGTTGATTCTCCCGCCCAGGATTAAACATGAAATAGAGGCTCAAGCTCAGCACATCAACCCAATGAAAGTACTGGCGAATGTAAGGGGAGTTTGAGGTGGTCGATATATTAACGAATCTCTGTAGATTAAATCTAAATTTGGTGGCGAATGGGACGAATTTGTCAAAGAAATTGATAAGAGTGAACAGAAGATATATGGTCATGTTGCTAACTGTCGTCGATACGCTAGGAAAAAAGGGTCAGTCAAATTGCTAGATGAGAATGAATTAAGGGTCGAAATTGCACGGCAAGGGTTCGCTCCTTTAACCCCGGAGATGATGAGGGCGGTGGCAGTTGAGCTGCATAGTACAAGTGTCGACAATCGAATCAATTGTCGCCTGCTTGGTGAGCTATATTCTCTGGGTCAAGAGATAACCAGCAGTCATAGTGGCAGGCAAACAGTGACGGCGTGTGTTCTGAGCAAATCATGCATTGTGAATATTTACAATTTATTCGGTGAGGATTCGCCAACGAAGCGGCGGGGTGAACCTCCTAGCCCTTTCGAGATCGGAATATGTCTTGGAGCTGACGGTCACTTCCGCAGTTTGAGGGGCTGTGGCGGTGTGCTTCTGATTGGAGCATGTATGCTCAGCTTGGACACGAGGAGTGGAGAGGCGTATAGATGGAGCCTTGTCCCATTGATCGCCGGAATAACCGAGACTGAGTCGCAGGGAGCAGTGGCATGGCTGCTAGGAAGGCTTCGCAGTTTGATATCTAGCCTCTGCGGCGATAACGTGGTGCGAAGGGTTACACATTTTCTCTCTGATTCCGCGAGGGGGATAATTACTGGAACGGGACAGAGCCTGGAAGGTATCATGTCAATAAGGTGCAAGTTTCACGCTGATGAGGCTGCAGAAAGGATACCGGAGACGGTGATATTGCCGCCATGCACCACAAAGGACAAATTGATTAGTTACGCCAAGCAATGCATAGCTGGTTTATATCAGTGTGCCGGACAACGAGTCAAAGAGGCATATTTAGAAGTTTGCCTTCGTGAACTTGATTGGAAATTTGGGCTAAGTGCACGGGAGCATTTTGAGGTTTCCTGGAGAAAGGAGGAGATACTGGGTGCCTTCCATCATGAATGTCCTCTGGCTCTAGCTCGAGAGGAGGGGAAGCGGCAGTCCGTTGCAGCAAGACCCTGGTACAACAACGCAGCAGAATCAATCTTTTCGAAATTTCATGGTTCTTTCGTCGAGCGATCTCGGACGATAGCGTTAGGGGGTCAGAAAGGGCTCATCAGGGAGGTAGGGAGTTATCTGTCTGTCTGTGGCGTGACTAATCGTAACGGTCTAGTGACAAGTGCATCCATGGGTCATATGGAGACAGCTCACGCGGCGATGGAGGCTAAAGCGTTAATTCGCCTTCAACAGTGTGATGTGCCACTCTTATAACACAAGTAGTGTCCCTTATCTGTTTGTCTCCATTATTGCTTAGCTCACACAATTAGCTGTAGTCTCGTCGATAATAACACTTTCTCTTATCTACCCCCTGATATTATTCCTGTTGGGTTCTGAAGTATCACACGTGGTGCCCAGACCATGGCTGATAATAACAATACTCAAGAAATGAACGAGCACGTTCAAGGAGTGAATGTCGAGAACGACAATGGAGGTCCAGAGCAACAACAACAACCACAACCACAACAACAACAACAACAACAACAACAGCAGACTGTTGAGCAAGATATTCCACAACGTTCAGTTAGAGCTAATTCAGATGAGAACGTCCAGGCCCAGCTGTTGGCTTTGCAAAATGAGGTGATAAGAATGAAAAATAATGGTGGTGGAGAGTCATCAGAGATGGGTAGAGCAATAGCTATTACTAAGGCTATTGTCCCATACGATCCCAAGAAACAGACATTTGAAGAATGGCGCTCAAAGTTTGAAGGTCGGGCGAGACTATTGAGGTTACCGTATCGCGAACTCTTGGAGTTCATGGGGCTTTGCCTCAGTGATAAACCGTGGGAGGTTTACAATCGAAGACTGACTCATGATCCAAGTGAAGCTCCAGAGCGAACATATTATGGAATTATTGCTGAGATGATTAAGCAATATAGTGAGACGCCTAAACACGCCTTTAGTACTCTCTGTAAGATGAGGTACAAAAGAGATGTGTTTCGGCATTCAACCGAGATTCATAGATTGACAAAATTGGCCTTTCCGAGGTTACCACCGGAAGCAAGGGATCAAGTGTGTGTTCAAGTATTTTGGAAGAGTCTACCACAATCCAAAATTGTTGAAGGTTATTACAATACATTTACTAAGCTACCAAAGCAAACCCTATCGGAAGCTGTCACATTAGTGGGAGATAGTTTGGATGAAGAAGATGACAAGGAGTCGGTTGATGATAAAGAAGAAGTGGCAGCGGTTGCCTACTGGCA